CTGTTCCATCTCTTTGGTCTTTTTTCCAGACTGCACACTTTTTTTTCCATTTGTGCAGGACACTATAGTCTGCCCAGTGTTCCAGTCAGCAACTGGAGAACCAGTGTTACTCAGTTTTAAAGTTGGCTTATCACGTACCTGACATTAAAATGTTTATTTTTAATTTGTTCTTCTACGGTAGACACCTTGTGGCCAAAAATAGAATTGTTTCTCTAAAAATGAGATTCAATTTGTGATTGATTGGTGAAATGCTGCACAAGGACATTTATTAACTGATATCTTACTTTTCCACAGCAGCACCCTTTTTTATCCTACAGTACTTAGTTGCTGGCCAGCAGTATGAGAGAAAAAATAATTTGGAACTATTTCAGTATCTTTAATTCCAAATTCTTTCAAGGAAAGACTGTTGTTACCATGTTTGTTTGCTTGTTTGTTTAATACTTTTGTATGTACAAAATCAGATGGGAGACTATTCCACTTTGTGTTGGAATTTTGTCCCTTTTGGAGGGCCTTTTCAGACCCTCCTTTGTGGAAGACTTTTCAGGTGACAGCTACTCATAATAAAATTTTAATATAGCACTGGGTTCTGTTTTACTTCATTTGAGGGACACAGATCAGCTAATGGCAACTGACCTCAGACGTGACATGAATTCCCAGTGAAATAAAGTTCTTCTGACAGAGAGGCAGAAGAACTATGTTTGAATTTGTGTTGGAGCTGCATGGAAAACAAGAAATCTATGTTAGATCCTATTGCCCCTAAAAGGCAAAGGAAGAAATGTAATGGGTTCTGGTTTTGTAATACATTCATTAAAAATATTGTGATTGGTACTCTACATAAAAAAAAAAAGATATCGAAATGTTTGGGTAGCAGATACAAGGGGGAACAGTGATCAAGATACTTCTGAGAAAGAAGTGATTATCAACCTTAGGTTTAAAAATATTTTTTGAGTCCAACGTCAGTAAATTGAAGATGATTCTGCCTTCCACTATGTTAGAATTACATTTCTGAGAAATGCTAGAGCACATCCTTGCAAATTAAACTTGGCATTGTGGCTGCATCATCTTGGCCAATAACATACGGCTTGATAGATATGTTGATATGACAGCTGTAAGCTTTACTCCATGCTCTGAATACGCATCCCTTGAGAGTGCTAATCCTTCTGCATGACCAAAGGATGTAAATGAGCTTTCGAAAGGGTGTTTACATCCATCGTTCCCTCACTGATTGACAGTCACCAAGTTTTCTTTTCACAAATTCCCTTTTTTTTGGCTATGCCTTTTCAAATAGCTATTTATATAAAGTGAAGAGCAGGAAAATTTCATTAGTCATAGGTACTTTTCTGTCTTTGGAGTACAGTACAATTTTGGTCTTCAGTACTAACTGGTCAAATGTAGTAAAAAAAGAGAGATCAAGCTAACACTGTCTCATGTGATGAATACTTACTGCTTTTATGAAACACCACTATATTTTTTTTTCCAAATTCTATAATTTGGATGATACTTCAAGTTGTTTGTTTAAATACTTGATCAAGAAATTATTTTTTTTCTTCTAATAATATTCTAGAAGTACTTTTTAATGAAGACTTGGACAAATAGATGGCATATTTGTTTTCACTGAGACATGATAATGAGTTAGAATTAGAAAGGAAGACAGATAGAAAGGAGGATTTCTTACAGAAGAGGCATACAATAGAGCCAATAAGAGGCATGTGAAGAACAATCTAACAATGTTTAATGACAAAAAGTACCATAGGTAGTGTTGAGTAATGCTGCAAGGTGAACTGAATATACAGTGTTTAAAGTTATTCCCACAACATTTGTTTTATGTAAAAATTTCATTGTGTTTTCTTTTATTACTACTACATTTCCATCTAGTTTTCCTGGGTGCAATTAAATACATGTTTAAAAAATGTCGTTTTCTGAACTTTTCGTATCTTTAGACAGCAAATATGTCATTGTTTTATATAATACCTCATATGACATGGAGCAAAAGTAGTTCGGTTAGCAAAGCTAGTTTAGTTCATTTTCATCTGATTTCTACATTTCAGCTGCTTTAATTATTACGTCAACCTGTGTCAAGCTTTTAATTTGAAACATTCATTTTATTACCTTTTCCCAGCAGGTTGTATAAAACACTGAAATGGAGAAAGATATGATGAGAATGGCTTGCTTTTCAGCAGTCCCTGGCTGGTTTCCTGGTTCTCATTCTGCAGAGCTGTTGCTCACAGCCACTGCTAGAGAGAGCAGCTTTGGAGCAGCTTGCAGTTTGTATAAGCGCTTGAGCTTGCTTTCTGGTCTGGTTTGCAGAACCTTACTGTCAATATGGCAAGTCAGCCAGTCTGGTATTGCTTATATTACTAAAAAGGACACCAGTGTATGCCATAATATACTGATCAGTAGAATTTATAAATGTTTGTTCTTCTTTACCAGCCCAGCGTGTTATGTATGAATATTTTAACAAAATACTATGCCTTTTACTTTTGGCAGTTAAAAACAATGTTATTTATCAGATCTTTTTAAGGTTTGACTAAGACAGTCTTTCCTTTTGTCGTGGTTTAATCCCAGCCGGCAACTAAGCACCACATAGCCACTCACTACCTCGCCCCTCCCTGGTGAGATGGGGGAGAGAATTTGAAGAGTAAAAGTGAGAAAACTCGTGGGTTGAGATAAGAACAAATTAATAATTTAACTAAAATAAAATAAAATAAAATAATAATAATTATTATTATAATAATATAAAAAAGAATACACAAAGCAAATGATGCATGATGCAATTGCTCACCACCTGCCCTCTGATGTCCAGCCAGTCCCTGAACAGGAGCCCCCCATCCAGCTTTCCCCTAGTTTATATGCTGAGCATGACATCATATGGTATGGAATAGCCCTTTGGCCATTTTAGGTCAGTCGTCCTGGCTGTGCGCCCTCCCAGCTTCTTGTACATCTCCAGCCTTCTCAGTCAGTAGAGCACGAGAAGCTGAAAAGTCCTTGATTTAGTGTAAGCACTACTTAGCAACAACTAAAACATCAGTTTATTCTTATACTAAATCCAAAACACAGCGCTATACCAGCTACTAGGAAAAAAACTAACTGTATCCCAGCCAAACCCAGGACATCCTTGGGCTTGAAGTGTGTAGTTTAATAATTTTGCTGCACGGTCCTATCCTGAAGTACATTTATTACATTTATTGTTTTTATACATTTTAGGAAACTGGCACATGATAAAAAATACACTTGAGTTTACTGTGATTTTCTCAACTTTTCTTATGGTAAAATATACCTGTGTAAAGTTAAACAACATGGTTCTCTAAACAAGTCATTTGCAAATGAAGATATACACAGCATGCATCATTTTAAGGCTTTACATATCCTGTGAAGTATGAGCTTGTAATGTTATGTCGGCCTTCTAAAATAATGTTAAGAAGCTTCTGAAAAGATTTTGCAATTAGAATTAGAATTTGAAAAGTGATCAGTAAAGCATATTTTGCCTGCCACAAAGTTAAAAAAGCTGTCTTTTCCCATCAAATAAGTAGATAGTGTAAGTCAATTGTATAGTTTTGTTGTTAATAAAATGAGATAACAATCTGAATCTTTAGAAATCCCACTTTTAAAAATAGTGGTTTTATTCGAGGCTGTCTTTTGTCTGCACTATCATGCTAAAGACAGTTAATAACAGACATTTGGTTATAAAATGGGGTTTATGTTTTATTTCTTCTTACTGTTATTCACAGTAGTCTATTTCATTGTATAGCAAGTGCAAGTTGACTATACTAACACAAGGTGTTAATGGAAAATTCAGGCAGCTATTACACATTACTTGGGTTCTTTTCCCTCATCTGAATGTTAAGCCATGTACTTTTAGGACTGATCTAAATATTTCATATTTTTCAATATGACTTGCTGGTGGAATTACTTTTACACATTTTATTCATGGAAGATATAGTTTATGGCCAAAACAAATATGTGACTAGTTTAGTCTGAAAAGAAACTGCATGCAAGCATTCCTTGCATCACTCCTCATATAAAGGGTTCTTCCACCCTTTTAAGAGTTTCTGTTTTCTTAATTTCTTAGTGATAGTTAATATGGCATTGGAGGAGATTTTAGAATTTTCCACTATAATTTCCACTTTAATATAAATAAAACAGTTAAAACATTTATTCCACAAAGTCATTAAATATTTACTTTTTTGCAGATTGTGAGCTTTGAATAAAATACAAAAAGTCCCAAAATAAGCTGATACAACTCACACCTGTTTTTAATTGAAAATCAGATTCCTATTAAACTATTTATTTTGCAAAAGTGACACTACAGCTCTTATTAGGCAAGCGAAGAAAATATTTGAGAGGCTTTTATATTATTTATCTCTCCAAACTTTGAACTTCTCTATTGAAGACTGTTTTCTTGCCAACCTTCCTTTAGAATACCAATAAAATGGAGAGAAGCATCTAGTAAAATGTCCCTAGGTGTTTTATAACATATATTTGGGCAAAACACGACGAGTTCTTTAGAAACTGCTTAAGGCTTCAGTGACATTATATGTGGAAGCAAAGTTTGAATGTCTTTACCTTTGAACTAACTCCAGAGTCAGGATCCTAACGAAATATGTAGTCATTTTTTCTAAAAGCACATTGCATCTGTGTAGTCTTCCTGAATATAAACTGCAGAAGAATATTAAGTGTAACAATTAATACACAGAGTTACCCCACTTCAATCAATAGAATGAGTGTAAATTTGCGCTGTATTTGATAATGCTGGTATCTGATAATTCTTATGTGGAATTCACAATGAACTGTGCAGGCAGAAAACTGTTTATTCCCAATGTAATACTAATAGCTGTTAAAATGTAAATTTCCCTAGGGTCTTGCTAATCCATGGTCTGCTGAGAGATAACATATTGTGGATTGACATTTCATAAAATTCAATATTAGACATGCAGTAAAACCTACACCGATGAATTATCCAGTAAACTTCTAATACTCATTTTTCCTTCATTTTACAATAGCTGTGTGTCAACATGACCAATGAGAAGATACACCAGTACATCAATGAAGTGCTTTTCCTACAAGAGCAAGCAGAATGTGTACAAGAGGGAGTTGCCATGGAAACGGTGTATTCTCCTGGTAACCATACTGCAGCCTTGGATTTTTTCTTTCAGGTAGTTTTCAGATCCATTTTACACCATGTATATTTATACACAGTCTCTGCATGTTAGACTAATACAAACTTTTGCCTGCATTTTCTGATTTATGAATTTGTAGAGAACATTATGGGTCCAAAGAGACCATAGAGAGGACTGTCATAACTGCCTTCATAGCTCGATGGCTAACAGAGCTTTCTAACAGGCCAGGGTTGAAGAAGATGTAACAGAAACTCCTTGCCTGCACTGATTCACACGTAGCATCTGTGTATCATGCTATGTCCTTAATGCAGCTGTAGGACTGGCAAGTCTCTGTTGTAAGCGTGACAGTTTCATTTTTGCCTGAAGCTAATTTCTGGAGTATAACTTCTAAGAAGGAAGTAGCCCAATCAGTTTCTTAAAAGATCATCAATATTTACCATTTTTGGCAAGTAAAATATTATTCCCTACGTTTCTTGCAGAATTATCTGACGTGCATAGCCTTGGAGACTTGCCAGAATATTTTAACCATTTTTTCCTTTTCATTGAGGCAATATATGTTTCTATTTACTAAATTACAAGCTGTGTTACTCTACAAGGAACAACTGAAATTCTATTGCTCCTGTATAAAACGAGAAAAATCTATTTTTCATTTCAGAAACCATCAGGCTTTTTGTCAATGCTGGATGAAGAAAGCCAATCTATTTGGTCGGTGGAACAGAGTCTTTCTAAACGTATTCAGTCTTACCTGGATACATCAGATGCAAATACAGTGTATTCCTCCACAAAAGATGGAAATGGTAACCTTGCCCCAAAGGATCAGGGCTCCACCTTCACTGTTATGCATTATGCTGGGAGGGTAAGTTGTTTCAATGATTAGTTACACACAGTTAATGAAAAAGAGTAAACAAACAAAATTCTGCATGGCTTCTCCAACTCCTGGCTTTCAGTAACAATTCATTTTCTAGTGATGAATTTTCAGAGGACAGCTTAGAATCTCAATGCAATATCTAGTGTATAAATCTGTAGTTTGTATCATATTGTGCAGGATTCAGGGTACCTAGTTCTGTCTCCTAAATTGTATCTTCATTGTAAGCACTTTATGAAGAAGAGGGAGATTCAGATACCTCAGCATAAAAGTTGAATGCCATTTTAGTTGGCTGTCACTTTGCTTTCAGATGTTGTTCCAACAGTATAGGTTCCCTGTAGATCCTGTGCCATATATGTAGATACCTTGGATACCAGCATACATCTGGAAAAAAACCAAACACACACACGTTTTTTTTGTTAGTAGTCATAATCAAAATATATTTTTTTTCCTTATTTTTCTTCAAATTCCCAGAACATGCTAAGTGTCTCTAAATATGGCTTTAAAACAGGGTGAATGTTTTACATTTCCCCTCCTGCAATGTTCACAGGAAAAGCTTAATTAATTCTGTTAAATAGGCCTGTTACCCTTTTCTTTCCCATAGTCCCTCATTTTCACAGTGTCTCCACAACCACCCACAACCAAAAGCAAGCAAAATAGCTATGTGTTTAAAGGGATAATATTTTTTTTTTAGGTAATCTGACAGATTGGCCCCTCTGTGATTGATCTGACATGCTGCCACTTCTCTCTGTTCAACGCATGGTATTTGAAATGAGCTTAATGAATGTAGATTGTATGGGCACAATATAATGAGGCCTCTTAGTTATCACTTTTCCAAAATATCCACTGAAATCAGGTGAGAACATAGACTAAAGGCTGCAGGAATCAGTCTTTACATCTGAACAACTTGTTCTGTGTCCTTTCACACTTTCTAAGTCTTATGCAGATGATCCTATGGGCTATCCATCCACTGATGGAGTCCCATAAAAGCTTTGTGCATAGCACATTTAGAAACTGTTTAGCTACTGTGCTTTGGAATGACCACATCGTGATCATATGCACTGTGTTGTTTATAGATATAAATATAACTGTAAGTGTTATTAGTTGATGACTTTACGCAGTAGGTCACTTTAAACCTGAGATCTCAGTAAAGCCTGCTGTCAGGCAGAACCTGGCTTTTTCAGGGTTTCAGGGCGTTTATCTGGTATGCTGCTAAAAAAAATCAGTTTAGATTCACAAGGGAGTTCTATGTGCTTGCTAGGGTAAGAACACCAGAAAAATAACTCTAATCCATGCTGCTAAAGGTACTGGATGACACGCTTTCTGCTGTGATGAATATTTTAGGTGGAACAGATTTATGCTGTTGAACACCCAGTCAGTCAACTATTGGTAGTGGGTACTCTTATAAGGTGCATTCAAGACTTGTCTCCAAGTCACCAAAAAAAGACTTGCTGGCTCTGTCATATCTCAAGGAAACATTATATGCCTCAAGCTCTCCAGAACAGATGAGAGGTTGGAATGTGCACGCTTAGGCTTCTTTAACCAGATTAGGGTCCTTTACAGCAATATAAATGGGGAAAGGTCTATTTTGTGGCTCCTCATTTGGAAATGAAGTCGATGGAAGTGTTGAGTAGTGTTCTGACGCAGGCAAATTTGTTCCTGCCCAATGATAGAAATGTGGTCATTATGGAAAGGATTAAGACTATTTGGGCAGTGTTTAAATTACTAACCTAAATACTCTGAATAACTCCCTGGAGGCTCTTCTTTCATCATAAGGCCTTCTACTTAGACTAAAATTATTTGCCAAAGTTAAGTGGTTTGAATACCTCCACTATTTATTGGGACTTTTCAATAGGAATGCAGGCATGCAGTGGCTAGATAACAGCACAGCGAAGATTTTGCAAAACTTATTAGCACTTAAAGTGATAGAGTTAAGAACTGACCGTGGACTCCAGATGTCTAATTTCATTTATAAATATGTTCTATACTTATTAGGTAAATATTTTTTCATGGAGTTCTGTTGTGATTATACAAATTTATCACAATAGTTCTAAAAGGTTCCACAGACCAAAAAATGTGACATGGAAGCAGCAGCAAGGCAGCTGTATTAAAATCACAACCAGAATAATAAGCACATTTCTTCAAAATGAAAAAAATGTCTTATTCTCTGAAGAAGCACTCAGTAGGAAGATTTGTTCAGATCAAAGTTTCAGGTGCATAGTTCTGAAAGTTCAGCTGTGAGTGGTAAGGAGTACACTTTTCATTAAAGTGTGTTTTAGCCTTGCACGGTTTAGAATTTTTTTTTATAACACAGACACTTGGTTTGACCTTTTCCTAATAATAGTAATGACATTTAATCTAAAAGTATGAACAAATAGACAGCTCTCCAAGTAATGTAAATTCACACATTCTTTTGAAGTCAATGGAGATCCTTTGATTTACATTGGCCAAGGAACTATTCCAGACAGTCAGGTTGTTCTTTGCATCCTTACGACAGTAAAATGCTCAGCCCTGCCAAAGCAGAAAAGTTCCCGTGCCAGTGCTTAACTCTCCTTACTTTAATAGTGATTGAGCAAAATCCTTAGAGACACTTGCATTTTTGATATCTCATGGACTGTTATCTAACTGTCATAAATTGAAATTTCCAGTGATTTATGATATGTATTTACATAAAATCTGATGATAGCATTACTGTACTAAATAATGATACAAATCTAGTTTATTCTGAGACTAGTATGTCTTCATAAATTGCCAAGTTGAATATGAAAAACTAGGATTTTAAAATTGCTGATGCTGTTCTTTAGATTGTGCTATTACTACATTTAGTAGCTTTTTATAGAAGTCATTTGTGATTTATGCTTTATGAAAATTGTTAAAGGATCAGGCTTTTAAATATATCAGGTTTTATTGGCTCTCAAAAATGAGAATTTCATATATAAAGTAACAGCATAGTTTGGCAGGTTTTGAGAGCCATTTTTATAGTGTGAAATCAATTAAATGAGTCTAAAGTAAATGAAGTATAAAGCAATCTTTCTCTGCGTCATTACCTTCAGAGATCCCCAAATTTAAAACAAGGGGGTTTGATTTTATTCTCACTTACCACAATTTTTCACTGATTGTAACTCCTTTAACTTGGTAAAGCTTCTCATTATTTACATGAATATAACTGAAAGATGAATCAGACCCAGAGGGTAGAAAAAGAATTACCAGTAAAATGTGACAGGTAATTGAACACGAAATTTTTCACTTCTAGGCTTAATCATTTCTATTCGGGTGGTGCGTCTAGGCTGGTGTTTGTGGAGGAAGTCACACTGAATGTGGGCTCTGTGTTAGAAGGTGAAGGCAGACATTCTGATTTCTCTAGGTAACAAAAGTTGTAACTGCAATGTAGTTCACAGCCAATGTGAAACAGCTGCTACTCCGAGTCATCTAGAGCAGAAAAAAGCTAATATTCTATGTTGGCCCTGGTATGAATCTCATATGGACCCTTGTAATTTGGGCTCCTTCTCATCAGTAGTTTATGTATGTATCTCGAAGTCCAGGAAGAATTGGGTTCATATCTTTACTCAGACACTTAGAGTAGCTATTTTAGCAACTCTTAAGTGCAGTTTTACTGGAAAATGCAGCTATTAAAAATACTGCCTCACTGAAGAGATTTACTTTTGTATATCTAATTGAGATTGACAGATAACCCTTTGTGAACAAAACTGATATCTCTAGCTTTATATTATGAGAGAATTACAGCTGATACAGATGTGTCCATGCAGTTTTAAAGACCTCTAAATGTTCATACCTTAACATTTTGTGTCAGGGCACTCATAGGAAAATTATCTTTTCTTTTCAAGAAAAATCAAGTCTTTTTGATTTATTGTAGTCATGCATTGTCAGGTACCACCCATTCGCTTATGTTTTATGCTCAGTAGCTTTTCCTAGGACTACGCATGCCATATTATTGATCCAAGCCTAATGAGCTTTACACCATTCCAGAAAAAGCAGTACTGAGAGAAAAAGAGGAGAGATAGCAGGTCAGAGGTGAAAAAAAGAAAGCATGAAGTCGAGATGAGATGAGATGAAGAAGGCACATGAGAAGAGGCTCAGAGTAATGTGTAAGGGAAAAAAAACCAAAGAATTTGGAATCCATACTTGATTTTCTGGTGGAAGCAATATTTTAAGAAAATCTGTATGTATAAGATCATTCTGAGAGACCTTTGATTTTTTCTTATTTCCTTCACTGTTTTGGAAAGAAGAAAGTGGAATAAAAGAGGAAAACAATATGCACAAGTAAACTTCTGCACATAGAAGAAGTCAACACAGGGGTGAGGTTTTTCAGTGGAAGCTGAGAGAGAATACTCTATTACACAAATGTGACAGAATGATGCTGTGGAAGAAAGAAAACAACTTTTTCTTCATTTCTCTTGAATTTTAGTATTATGCCTGCACAACACTAAATCTGCATCACGCCTTTTTCTGCATGAGCAATATGATTGAGTTGTTAACTATATGAACACATGCTTAGCAAAGGCCAGTGTGAACATGAGTACTTTATCATATCAAGTATTTCACTTTATTGCCCAGTTTTAATTTTGCAGCTGAACAGAATCCTACAATGCCTTGATACATTATAAGTCTCTTCTAAGAGCTATTTAGTGTCTTGGTGTCTGAGTGCTATAAGACAAAAAGCTTATCTGTTCTGTTCAGGCAGAAGGTAGAAAAGAATGATTTAGGTTTTGTATGACTAAAAAAAAATCCTAGCGGAAGGCTTTATCTGAAGGTTGTTTAACACATTTCCCTGAACACTGGCAGTCTGATCTCTTCTGGAAAAATTCTGCTCATCTGGGGCATTGCTTTGTTTCTGATGCCTAACATGAATGTGGGTATTCTCAGCTGCTTCTCACGGAGACTGTCTGCCTGGCAGCACCATGAGAGGAGAGAGGCACGCCGGTTCCACGCTGCACACTGCAAGCTCTTGCCTTCAGGAAGCGAAGCGTTTCATGGGTGCAGTTGATCAATGCATCCGACCATCAGCTGAAACTGTGCTAAGAATGTGTAATACTTAATTTCTAGGTATTTTTATTGATAACATTAATATTTACATTGTCAGCTTTCACGTAATGAAGGGCTTCACATGAATTATATCTCTGAACTGTCAGCCGTACTGGTAGTCATGATTTTTGAAGAATAACATTCCATCCACAAACTTCCTTGAGGACTCAAAGTTCTTTTTTTAATTTCATGGAATAATTAACATATCAATAAGTAAATCAGAAATATATTGTCTTAGCACAATGCCAAGAGACACAGCTTTACCTAATAGTGGTATTTAACATATGGGTGTTTGAGATAATGAGCTATTTGCCCCATTGTTCATGTAATCTGAATAATAGGTTGTCATAATCTAAGCTTTCTGTGGTTTAAATTTATACTTGAATTTACAAATTAGATAAGCCCCTTGTCGGTGTTTGCCTTGCCACTGTTTCGACTTACAGTACTGTAATAAACCGATCAGACCTAAAGACCAACTTCTTTGCTCTATAAACCAGTGCACATAATGTCCTTTAAGTGCTGATCAATGTCTGTTCCATTTCTCAGCTATGTGCATTTCAAAAATACCTCTCAGCTGTCAGCTCACCTTTACCAAGGCAGTCTTCTCTGAAATGCCTTGTATATCCCAGGCAGACTCTGAAACTGAACCTCTAAATCAAAAGACAAAAGGAGATAGATTAATCAATACAGATGCTTTCATTTTCTCTATTTTTTCCCCAGGCTGAATCCCCAGACATAACAATCAAATCAGTCTAGTCTAAGCTATACTGAGGCCTATAAAGGTTACTGGACAAAGATTCTCTTCTTCACGCAGACAAGAGAGTTGGTTTTTTTATCCCTTTCTCTCTCTCTTTCTTTCTTTAAGTAGACTTGATTTTGGACTTTCACTTACAGGAGGAAATAATAGAACATTTCCCCCCACCCTCCTATTTTGTTTCTAAATATCTGCTGGTTTCAATATGCTACTAATTCTATCACAGTGTTAGAATAAGACTTTACAGACTATATAAAATCGTTTACTTCACTCATTGCTTAAGAAGATTTGTTTTGGGAGGATGAGAAGCCCAGTGATCCTAAAAAAAATGTTACTTTCAAGTATTTAAATGATATCACTCACATTTAAGTATTGGTAGAAAATTAACAACTACAAGTGACCCTCTGTGCACTGAAATTGTCCTTGGACATGTTCTCAAAAATTTCTTTTTTAACTATATGAACTGGTTATTTTCTTACTAACTAAATTTAACAACACATGCAAAGCTGTGAGTTTCTGAGTTACATTTTGTTATTAAAATAGTAAATTTTCCTTTTTAACTGTGAATGCAGTCAAATCAACCTTAACATTCCAGGTGGCATTTTCGTAGCTTGTTTTAGGGTTCCTGCTGGTTCTGCCATTAACCATGAGTGCTTTTGGCCTATCACAAGATATGAAAACTATTTACAAAGAAGAGTATTTGAAGGAATTGATGAAAACTATGTGTAAAAGTGGCCCTGTTGATAAAGTATATTGGGAAATCCAATAAACTTAGATAAAGTTCCATACCAAAGTCAGATATTATGTGGGGGGATACTTCAGTTCAGAAGAGAAGATGTACAATGGAGTGGGATGAGGATAATTAACGAAGCGAACAGGCAGGAGTATGTAAGAAGATAAGAGAAACGTGCAATTCCCAAAGTAGCTCTGTGCACGTTTGCTGTGTGAGACTCCTGTTTTCTGGGTGTTGTGTTTTTACCTCCTATTTGTATCTGCTAGTTCTCATGATATTAAAACCAGCTATGCCAACTTAAATGACCAGAAAACAGGTTCAAAACAAATAAAATTAAGTATTTTTTTCACATAGCTAGCAACTAGTGAAGCTCCTTCCCACAGAGTGTTATAGATGCCGAAAATGTTAATGACTTCTAGAAACAGAGACTGAAGGAGGAAATGTCAGTCAAGAGATATTAAACCTAAAGATGAGATACAGCCTGCATCAAGAGCTCCCTCATGGGCAGAGGCCTGGAAGCTGAGAGGGGAACTCGTGGGAGGCAGAGTGCAAGTATTCCTCAATATTTTTCCTGAAATATCCAGGGCTAGATGAATATTTGGCCTGCCCCACTACCACTGTGCTTAGGTTCATCTCTCTTCCTTTCTGAACTTAAATCAAGAAGGAAAGCAAATCCAATCCCTTTCTTGTTTTAGTCTGTTTTAATGAAATAAAATGCAGTGTGGAACTGCACAGTATTGTCTTTTTAAATAAAAATAGTTCAACTAGTTCAGATAGTATCTAAAGATCTTTTTTCCTTTGGTTAACACAGACACGTAGGTTTACAGACTGTCTACCCCAAAGAGTTTATCATGTAAAAGAAGACAGAGCAAACAGCTGCAATAAATAGAAGTGAGAATAAGGAGTATGTTTTATAACACTGGAAACATGATCCAAGCAAGTGCACATTTCCTGACTGAATCATATAATATTTGTTTGGTTTTTGTCTCCTCAGAATAACTATCCACTGTGCTTGACTGCCAATCAGTGCAGAGTTTTGGCCAGGTTTACTTTAGAAACCCAGTGGAAGAAAACTGGGGGAAATGTATGTGCTTTCGGCAAACTGCTATGTGAGTTGGCATCTCTGATGAGGGCAGGATTAAATTAACAAAATTGGCAGCTTGAAGAGGACTTCTTTCTTTTTCTCTTTTGTGGGACTGACAATAAATATGGAACCCTTGAGTGCCATTTCATTGAGTCAGTTTTCATGTCTTTAGGCAGTGAATTAATTTAACAAGTCTATGGGAAAACTGTTAGACAGTTAGCAATTTCTTCATAAAAGGGAATCCTGCTAACTTTTATGTATTTAATGTGATGTGAGAGATGTCTTATGAATATAGTTCTAGAAGTTGGTGATGTATTATACCAGCACCAGTACTCCCTGTTTCAGTCTAGGCACTTAATTATAATATAGTATCTCCCACTGCTATACTTACCTACTCTTCCCACCAATACTAACTCTCTTCTTCTAATTTAGTCAAAGCCTAAGACACTCAATTAGGAACTGGCATTATGGATTTGTCGAATAAGTTCTGTTAATTATCTTTTATGGACCAGTATGGTAGAACATTTACTTTAAGTACACTAAAAGCATTTAATAGTATACTTAAATTATTCTAATAGTTTGCTAACTATGTTGTATGTTCTTAGGAGATGCAATTAGAAAATTATATAACATTGCATCTGTCATGGAGAAGAACGTAATTCTATTGTTATACCTTTTCTATGTCAGATGCCATACTAATTACATCATTTGACAATTACTAACTATAACAGATTATACACATCCAAGTCATGTAATCTCTTTCGTGAGTAAGATAGCATTACATAATTGTCAAATGACCCAATGGAAAACAAAATTAATACACTGATTAGTATTGCTAATCTTAATTATGTATTTACAGCTTTATTAAATATACAGGGATAAAATTCCCCCAAATATCTAAGGGGCTTAAGATATAGATCCAATAAAAAACTTAAAAAAGGCTTTAGACAGAAACGTGGTCCCAAGGTAAATAAAACCAAACTGTATTCTAAGAAGTTCCCATTAAGTGTCTGACTAATCCTGGAGGTACTATAATCTATAATTTTCTTCCTTTTTAACTTAAAAATTCCCTTTGGGTTCTACTAACGTGTAAGCCAGAGCTGTTTATATCTAAAGCTTGTATATTAACTAGTTGTTTGTCTTCCATCCCCATAAAAAATATAAACACACCGCCCCTCCCCCCACCCGGGCTCAGTGACTGCTTTTTTGGCTTAGTGCTGCTCTTCTGTACAGTGTCTCCTGGGATGGGCTCAATGTTAAAACCGCCACTTGGTCATATTTCCTCATGTTGGATGTACCCTCAGGAACTCTGGCTAGAGCCTTGCGTTTTGCTCACTTCTCAGAGTGCCCACCACATGTGTTAGAGTTTATCTGCAGTCAGATGACAGATGGAGTGCCACTCCAACTGTTTGTTCTTGAAATTGCAACATCAGGCAACTAAGGTGATCCAAAATCTTTATGTGCATAGTTTTTAGAAAGCTAAATGGGATTTGTACATAACCTATAGACTGAACTTGCTTCCAAAGGACATATAAATGGCTGGAACTTGTCTTGAGTGTGAGCTGGGACTCAGATTGCTCCATGAGTGTTTTGTCATGGTCAGTGACAGTTTCCCATTGACAAGGAGATCTGTGATCTGGGAGCGACTCACTCATCCTACAGGGAAAGTGATGTTTAGGTCACTGTCTTCTGCTCTACACTACACTTCTGTTTCAAAGTCTTGCATTGTAGAAATGTTTTAGAATCAGTCTGATGAAATTTCTGTATACTTGCAGAGATGCACAATGTTCAACAACCAGTTCTTTTGGTTAGTATTGCACTAAGAAAGGAACAAACAACACTGCCTGGTGCCAGCCTTCAAATGTTGAGTGGAAAAAAACAGCTTCATTTCTACTGCTGTAAAATTTTTAAAAGATGCATTGGTCATTACTAATGATGTCACAATATTTTATTATAGGTTACTTACGAAATTGCTGGTGCGATAGAAAAAAATAAAGATTCCCTTTCACAAAATCTCGTATTTGTGATGAAAAGTAAGTAAATGTTTTGTGGTTGCTGTTGTTGTTAGAAATCAAGACACTATGACTTGACTAATTTTCATTTTCGTTTTAAGATAAATTTATATATATTTTATTTCCAGTAAAAAAAAAAAAATCACCCTCATCTTTTTGAAGTATGTACACATTGTTTGAAATTTGCTCTAATTTAGAAAGCTTTTAGAATTTATGAACATAAAGCATCTTCATCGTTATGTGATGTAAAGAACAAGAAGATACAGTGTGATAGATAAGTATGACTTAAAGAAATCATTGACTATTAATTAAAACAAAAATAAACCCAGAAAATAGGGGAAGGAAATAAGGCTCCCAGAATCATAGAGACTGCAGTGGGATGTGCTTCACTGCTTGAGTACCTTTCTAAAAGCAGGAACTTGTGGGCGTTCTTATGTTTTCCAGTGAATAGATACAAATGTCCATTGAAATACAAAATTAAATACCTTTCCACGTGCATATTATATAATTATGCCTAACAGTAATGCATCCCAATTTATTAATTAATGATTCATAATTAGATTATTAAAAACCTCTATCGTTTACCCTTTCTGTGAAGAAAACCAAAACATTTTCCTCAGGGAAATGTCAGTGTATCCTGAAATGATATTCGTCTTTTTTCCAACCACTGCAGAGTCTTTTACTTAATATATTATATTTCTTTCCATAGAAACAGAGGTCTTTTGGAGGTCATATTTGTCTTCCAAATCAGCCCTGCTGTTACAATGTATTGTTTTTTAGCAATTTACTGTGAAATTAGCTAAACTCCCTAGTAAAATTATTGATGCATTTTAAAGGCAAACAGTGTACATTAAGGATAAAGAAAGAAATAGAAGAACTGATCTTGAATATAATCCTATTGGTTATAGTTTTAGAGACATTCCAGTTCTCACTACTTGGAATTTACTCGGAATTTACATGATAATCTGCCAAAGAGTAGAAGAGGGTATGGCAACTTCCAGTATGTTGTACGAGAGCATTCTTCCATTCTCTCACATAGTCTCCTTTTGCACTTTCACTGCTATGTTGTGTCATCAGCTATGCAGCTGTTAAAAGGGAAGAATGGAGGATTGTATTGGATATAAAATGTTTGATATGCTGAGAGTGAGTGTATATATAATTAAGAAGTCTAAATAATGGAAAAATTCTGAAGGCAGAATATTTACAAGCATGTAAGTCATTTAAGGGCTATGTTCCTTCTTTTTTAATTAAGTGACTTAGGCTTAAAACCTATTGATTGTCAGTGATGTATTTCCTTTAGGGTCAGTTTCATAAGTTATGTAGATGTATACCTTAAGTGCATGCTTCCTTTGAGTTTCTTTGAACTTAGTTCCTTAATCAAAACTTTTAAATATTCTAACAACATTAAAGTAATTTACATATGTGTGTGAGAATGTGGAACATACCTGTCTGAAAAATAAATCAGGAGAGATTATTGACATAGGTTTTATCTGTTTTAATTTGAAGGATGTAATTTTAATGCCTTTCCTAATGCTACTTATTACATTTATCCATATTTTTAAAATATGGAGGCTTACTCTGTCCACTGATTGTGCTGAACTTGTTTCAATTATCTGCTTTACTATGTTCCTCATAATTTTATTATTCCTGTTAAGTAAGGAACAGTAATCTCCACAGAAAAAGGGAAACACATCTATTGCTTTTAAGCATCTAGTAAATATATCTTTAGACAGCTAATAAAGAGCAAACTAAGGATTTCTACCTGCTATGCTAAAGTTAGCGGCATAATTTATTATACTTATCCCATTCATCTTTTTGGTTTTTTGTTTGTTTTATTCACATGATGGGTGTGATCATAATGCCAGTTTGTTAGTTCTTAAAAAAAAAGTAATAAAAATTAAGAATGGTTAAGGATGTATCACACAACAGGTTTTTAATACTTATTGGTGCTGTGGCAGTACAAACAGCATGTAATTCCCATGTTCATCTTAAAAAGCCCATGACCATAATCTCATAAAGGATAACTTGACTGAAATTAGTATAAGGTATCCTATCTGTCTTAAAATTCAGATTTTTGTTTTTAAAAACACATCTTGGAAGTGTATTTGTTTTGTACTAATTATCACCACTGCATCAAACATACGTATGGCATTGTCTTTTTTCTGTAAATGTTTGTAAGCATGGTCTTGATGTAGAGAAATGTGAACCCAGCTTGCTACAGTTCTGTCCTTCACCTTGCCTTTTTTTTTCCCATCCCTTCCCATATTGTGTTTTATATAATTCTTTTTCTTTGGTGCGGTAAGTGTCTATAATTTATTTCTGCCAAGTGCCTTTTGATCATTTCTAAATACTCTGTGTTAGGTAAATGTTGTGCAGAATGCATCTCATATTGCTTTAATAGATGGATAAATTGGGAGCCTGTAATGGAACAAAATTCGGAGGTGATTATCACATAAGTAATTAAATTTAGACAGATCACAGTCTGAAAGTTTTGTTTCCTGCCCTGTTTTGTTCAGCACAGGACCTGAATATGTTTTAAAATAGTGTTACTGATGGCTGACATCCTTAGATATTGAATGCTCTTTGATAACTAACATAATTTAATAGTTTATTGGTTTGTCCACTTGTTTTAATTTTACTTATTTAATTCTGTCTCCTACAGTATGTCTTTTTACTTCCAAATACAATATATATAATTTTCTAACCTGTATTTTATCTTCATGCATTAATTTCTTCTTTTTTTCCCAGCCAGTGAAAATGTAGTCATCAATCAATTGTTCCAGTCCAAGCTGACACAAACTGGATCACTTGTTCCTCCATATCATTCCCTTAAAATTAAAGGGTGTAAAGCAGCTTTGCTGAGTAGAAAACCATCAGTAGCCTGTGCAAGTGGAGAAGCAAAGAAATATATTGAGCTCAGCAAGGTAAGAATTTAGGGCTCTTTCTGCTCTTTGCTCCTTGAAGATTTTTCTCAGCTACTTTGTAATTTCTGAAAGCTCCTTGTTCTCTGCTTCATGCTCTGTAGTCATTAAACTATTAAAACAATCTAGTACTTAATATCAACATTAAAGGAACAGTGAGAACTAACAGGTTATAATTTACTAACACTAATAATGCTAGTTCAAGAACCTCTTTCTTGGACTCTCTGAGCAGGAGGTTGGGCTAGATGATGAGGTGCCTTCAAGCCTGAATCATTCCATGATTTTGTGGTTCCAGGACTTAGCAGTTGATGCAGTATTACTGATTTTTGGCTGTGTAGGAACACTTCTTTGTTTTGTCTCCTTGGCTGACTTTATGACAAATAGTTAATTAAGACATAGGAAATGCAAAAATAAAACCTGAATGTCTTTATTATGTTAACCCAAGAAGACCTCTGGTTTGCAAAGATAGTTTGTGTGTTTTTGTATGAACATCAACCCTGTACATTTTGGAAAACTTGTTATTTTAAATGGTCACTTGCATGTAAATTTTCCCAGTCAATTTGAAACCAAATCAAACTCACCCCGTTTCTGAACTTGTCTCTTTTTCTGCTAGCCTAAGTCAGCCAAAAAAGTTTAAAAAAAAAAAAATGAGGAGGAGAGGGGAAACTTGGGAGGCTATCAGAAAATTAATTGTTCATATCACGTGGAACATCTCTCTTTTGATGACAAATAACATGATTTGCTGAGTCCATTCTTGACAGAGCTTTGGAATTCCTCCTTCTTCTAGGAAAGAAGCAAGCAGTTCTCACAATACATCAGCTGCCTCACCAGGCTTTTTGAATCTTATGACTCTATTTTTGGCTTACAGCTGCATAAAATTAATTCTGTCATGGGATTAAGGAGCCAGCTCTCATGTGTCATTGTGGAAGGCTTTGTGCAAGTACATCCATAGAATAGCAATGGGAGTTTCCTTATAGCTCCTCTTCTGATAGTAGCATCATTCCTGTCTACTGTTCTTGTCAGTAATCTCAGTGGAAAAACTTAAGTTGAAGTGAATGGTGTTGGTTTAAGGCTATATTTAGCAAACAGCTGAGGCATCACAAGGTGTCTTTAGGTGCCTTTCCACTATAGTAACAGCTTCCTAGAGGAAGCTTCCTAAGGCTGTGAAAGAGATCCTAGTCCCATACATGGAAGGAAGTATGAAAAGCATGTCAAAGTTAGAAGCCTAACCAAGCTAGGGGGAAACACCACACAGCTGGGATCTCTGAAACTATGAAGGTTTTGACCAGTCCAGAATAGCTTTTAACCTGGAGTTACTCTCTTGAGAGACAGAAGACATATTCAAATTCCTTTGGGAAGCATGATAAAATAAGTCAGAAATTCCAGATTCAGTGAGAATGCTCTAAACTTTTAGGTATTAGATGGAAGGTGGGAAGAACTTCATCCTTCATCTGCCCACAGAGACAAGGATGGCTTGGCTTCTCAAAGGTAGGCTTTGAGAAGAGCTGTGCAGGTGAGACAGAACACCACTTAGTTTGTAGATACTAAGCTGGCCTAATCTAAGCAAGGTACTGTGCTGCCCTGCAGGATGGAAGCAGAACTTTAGGTATCTAAGTTGTTCCAGTGGCAAAAACCAGACACGTGTTATTTTGGAATAGGCACCTGATGCAGGAGCTGGAAGTTGGTAAGTGCTTAAATTATTTTGTGGATCAAGCCCACATCTATAACTGTGCTGTCCCAAATAATTTCATTTCTTTTCCAGTATAGCCTTGAAAATCCGCTGTGATGGGCTGGAATAATGTTGGTTTTGTTGTTTTGTTGTTGTTGTTGTAATTGGAAATGTGATGTAGGGGTCATTTTCTTATCAGCTTAAAATTAAAATGACACTGCATTTCTATTGGAGTTTATCCTAAGGGTGAAGGCAATAAAGAGAAAAAAAAAGGCGGGGGGGGGCATTCCTTTTGTATCTGAAATTTGAGTTATAACATACGTCATACTGTAAGCAGTGAGAAACGCAAAATGGAAGGTATTCGTGTTGCTTTGTATGAGTAGTCACCTAGACTCCACCATATCCAAGGAAGAGAAGTAGACACTTTCAGAGGTCAGATAGGAGTTTGTTGTGATTCCCCTCCCCTTTCAGCTTGTCATCTACAGTCCTAGCTACTTGCTAGGTTATGTGATTATAGATTTCTCTGTGTATGGCCTCTATCTACCTGTTTACCTTTCTATAAATGGCTCTTCCCTTAATTTTGAGCATGCTGCCACAGGTAAGGATGGTCTACCTCTTCGAACTCACCACTCTGCTTGTAGTAGGGTCCAAGAGAACAGTGTATCCATCCTAAAATAGACATGAACAGATCTAATAGCTGGCCAGAATTTTGGAGCACATAAGGAGTCATAGGAATTTGGGAATGCCAGCTCAAGTCTCTATGACTTATGAAGACTGTGTCCCATTTTCAAATAAAATAAACATATCTTCATTGATACTCACAATTCTTTTTTGCTCACACCAGCTCTTGCTCCCTTGTTTTTCTGTAATCTTTTCCTAGTGCATACTTTGGTCCTGTTGCCTTCCCCTCGCTTCCTTTGGAAGAGTCTGTGGGTTTCAGAGTTCGTACAGCAGAAGTCTAGTCACATGAATGCACATCACTAACAGAAGGCTTTTCTTTCTGTTGACTTTACATTGTTTCTCTTTATGAACACTTTCCTTCATTGTCTGTTAGTTGAAGAACTCATCTATTGCAAAGCTTTTGGTATGTCTTCTGGTCAAAGCTTTAAAATATTCTGCTGGTAAAGAGAGATTTTTTAGAAGGAGGTTTTAGCTTCTTAACAGACATTACAAAGTTACATATATTTTTTTTTTTTTTTTCTGTAGATTAGAGGTACAAGATTTTCCAACGTAAAGCTATATATTAGAGGGTAATATAGAAGTACAGCTTTGGTGATGTAGCCCATAGTTGAAGATGTCCAAGTTTGGAGAGTTTGAATTAAATTTATTTTTTGTCTTTGCCTTGTTTCCTTTCTTTTGTCTCCCTTGTTCTGAACCAAACACTTCCTTCCCATGGGAAGAAGTATGTAACACAGAACAGCAGGCAGGAACTTTAGCATCCCAAGCGTTGTTCCTGGCTCTTCCACTAACTCAGGAAATGGTCTTGAACCAGTGATTTAATCTGTTGGGAGGAAGGGGTGAATGCATTATCTGTCAAGTGAAGAAAACTCTATTTTAGTTATATTCCTCAATTGTTCTGTAAATTTTAACTGAGAAGTGTCATTGGCATGCTAGCGGTTCTTTTTATGAGAAGACCTGGAGCAAGCAGATCTCTTTTACTTTTCTGTTTTGAGGTTGGGGATTAATTTGCTTTTAAAATCTTATTGCATCCTAGTAAGTGAGATTTGAAATAAAAAAGAGCTCCAAAGTTTAGCATAGTGAGTGGAGAATTGCTTGCACTGCAATATTTTTAATGAAGTTTGGCTTGAGTGGGCCAAGCTGAGGAAATGTACACTTTTTTGATGCAACTGGAAAAAGACCCGAACATGCTGATTTGATAGAAAGGGAGTTTTATGGGGTAACTGGCCTGAAGAAAGGCAATGAAAAAAAGTCAGAGATGAAAAGGCTGTCATTGATACAGAGGTTTGAATCTAAGAGCTGGTCCAAATCCTGGAATGCAATAATTTTGCCAGCCTTCCTATAGAAAGTATAACAAAAAAACCTAATTTCTGGGACCACTTTTAGGATGATCATTGCCATTTTAGTCTCAGAGATAGGAAGCAGAACAGCAAAAAATACCTTTGTTCCTCACTCCCAACTCTGATGTATAGGATAACATTGGTTCTATTGAGATATGAAGTTATTGATAATTTATGTCTATAATGGGTGAAAATGGGTTAAAAAAGAAAATAAAAAAAGGTTAATTGCATTCACTTGTGCAGCAAGAAAAGAGAAGGGTTTTTTTGATATTAATAACATTGTTTTGCCTTCAAGATCTTTTTAATGATCTGTGCTTACATTTACTCACTTAAGTATTTGTCAAAGATATAAAGAACCTTTTCAGAGAGTTACAGAATTATGCTACTTACAGGCAGATTGTATGGGATACTAACTGCACAAGTCTTGCTTCTGCAATAGGGTTCCAGATCATATTGCTTTGCCCAGTTATTTGGAAAAGGTATTTTATCTTTCCAATGGTATACAGCTGCTTTTGAAATCTAAACTTTCTTGCCAGTCATGGCTATGCAGATACTTGAGGATATTTATCCACTTTCCCAATTTCTGAAATTCATATCATTGTCTATGACATAGTATTTGTATAAATGTTTGCCTTTGTTAGTAAATTGTGTAACAATGAAAATGAAGGTTTACTGCCCATCTGGAGATAAAGGTATTGTGTGTGTGCTTTTCTCCCCTACAGCTGTTGAAAAAGAAAGGAACATCCTCATTTCTTCAGAGACTGGAACGCGGGGGCCCAACCACTGTGGCAATACAGCTCAGGGTTAGTGAACATCTTCTGGACAGAAATTTACAAAAAAAAAAAAAAAGAAAACAAAAACATTTTAAAGGTAGGATAAGTCTCTACAGATTGCAATGGAAGAAAGAAAAATCATATGCTTGAGAAAGCCACTTGCATGACCAGGTCAAACCTTTTGAGGAAATGTAAAAAAGTTAGGCAGAGCATACATGTTGAGCAATTGCCTTTGCTGCATGCACAATAATGGTTGATAACTGATTTTTTTTCCCCACAGAAATCACTCACAGATATTATTGGGAAGCTGCAGAACTGCACGCCACATTCTGTTCATTGTATAAAGCCTAATAACTCCAAGCTGCCAGATACTTTTGACAATTTTTATGTGTCTGCTCAACTGCAGTACATTGGTGTCCTAGAAATGGTCAAAATCATACGACATGGATATCCAATACGTCTCTCTTTCACAGACTTCTTGTCACGGTAAATTCTTTTAAGTTTCATAAAAACTTTTCCTTACCTACAGTACAAAGCCTTCTGTCATGTTCTGGTAGTGTTTGCAGTGTTGTTTTGCGGATGAGCCTTTCAGACTTTCTTCAGAGAAAAATCATGTCTGCCAGCAAGGAGTGTATGCTTGTTATTTTTTAATTGAAGGAATCATGAACTTTATGGAAATATATTTGTAAAGATCATCAGCAAAATGTATTAAATTTAAAAAATGTAACTTCATAAAATAGTTATATTTTTATAATTTATGCTATTTATATAATTTATAAAATACAAAATATTGCATGTTCTCTCCAGGTAATTAAAAAGCAGAAGGAGAAATAGTCTAATTTTTCAAGTTTATCAGTGTAGGTGTCATGGATTCAGTATTTGTATTTCTTATGCTAGGATTTGTTTCTGGATGGTGATGAGTTATTAATGCCCATACCACAACTCCATTTTTATTATTGTTGTTAGAAATGAGTGAAATTTTTAATTAATCTGAAAAGACAAAAAGATATATCACTGCTTCTGATTTTGATTCACTTACATTCTCAAATGCTTCAGCAAAGAGCACCTCTTGTCCAAGAGATGTTCACTTAGCAGCCTCATGCACTCAACATATGTTTCTCCTCTCTGCGTGTTCTACTCCTTGACTGATATATCGAGCAGTCATGATCTGGCCTATGTACTATTTTACTTCTGAAAAGCATGGGAATATCAGCTGCTTACACACATCTAAACTTTCACTTGCCTTCTCGGAAAAAGTAGTGGATGTTAAATTACTGCTTGGACAGGATCATATTCTTTCTGGCAATTCTGTAAATATTCAAAAAGTGCAGGAGTATAGTTTATAATCCCACGTGTTTCAAAAATAAGCCATCTCTGTCCTACCACAATATTCATCCTACAGCATGAATCCAGCAGTGCAGGCTGGTTTAGGAGAAGATGCAGATAATGGGAGATTTGGAAAAGCAGGCTCCTTTCATATTCAGAAATGGTAGGGGCAACCTCTATATAGCTATTTCTATATTACTGAATTGAACACTTCAAGGGACTATTACATGGGCACAAACCCACAATCATTTCTACTGTTAAATCCTTACAATGTTTTCTGGCAGGGATTTGGTCCTTGCCACCCAGCTTTTCTCACTGCAATTCCCAAATACAGGTTGGGGGTTAGCACAGGCCTGAGACCATTCCTGGTGGGCAGTGTGGAGGTAGCTGCTCTCTTTTGGAGGGTAAAAGAGAGTAACCACATGTACACAGGTCATTTTATTCAGTTGGCTTCAGTGACAGAGTATAGTCCCATGTGTGTTCACTCTAACAGTATAGGCATGAGTCCGGCATGTTGTCTTTTTTGGAGAAACTTTATTTCAAAATATCACTAAAAGAATGTTTGAAGATTCAAATATAATTTCAGTCTTTGTCCTCTGCTCCTTCAAGTATATCCCAAAGACAAATTTTTACCTGAAAGTCTAGAAAACATCTGGTGTCTCAAAATAAATATTTCTTTGCAGTAATGATAGTAAAACAAGAATAGCAAGAAAACCAAACAATATGATACCAGCAACATTTATGCTATTATTTTGAAGTGTTCTAGTTTTGTAACTGTCCATCTTTATCCCTTTTCCTCCACAATAAATTATCTTTATAGCTTGTTTGTAGTTGAGCCCCTGTCTTTTTACCTATTTGCACCAGGTCCTAATAATTGTATTATTATACATAAAATGAACTCCATTTTATAATATTCCCTGTGACTATATATTGAACCTACTCAGAAGTTAGCAATAATCACTCTGCATACATCTCTTGACACTACTGATTTTTAGATTTGTGTACAAAGAGGAACACAGAGCTCTTGTCCCAGCAGTACTGCAAGAAACCATCAGTGTTGTAAGGCTTTTTACAGTAGCCATTCCTGTCACACAGGCCAAAGCTTATCTTACTTTGAACAGCAGAACACGCTAATTCTCCACTTTACTCACAATGACCAGTTAACCTTCATATTCACATTCAGTGTATTTGGATAAATCTTTTCATTTCAAATAGTGCAAGCATGTGGCTGTTTGTTCTGTTAGTGGCTGAAAAGTACAAAGTTTTTAAGCAGAAGTGATAGTATTAGATTGCAGCTCAAAAGTACCATCCATTCTTAATGCTGTATTTTTTTAGCCAATAGGCTACAGGTAAGAAGGAATGAAGAATTATTGAATTCAGAGATTATGAGCTACCTTTTCAAAAAGTCTTCTAAAAAACTGTCACTTGTACTACATCTCTATATTGCCTCAGTGACCAGACAGGATGGTTTTGAAAACCGGATAATTAGTTTTGGCAATTTTCTTGTAAACTGGATTTGCTTTGTTGGCTGTTCAGGCTAATGCTGATCTTGTCCTGCTATTCATTGATTGGAATGAGAAATGATTTTGTCACATTTCCATGTATGCTTATAGACCTGAGCTTGATAGACTCTGACCTTTCAATTTTTTATTTCCTTTGGTGTCAAACTGGTATTTCTAGTGTTCTAATACTTGGGAAAATAGTATCTTCTCTATTTCTGCAATTATTTTTCCGCCATTGTGGCTCTTCTACTTCTTTTGCATGGTTAAGAATGGTCTGTGATTTCCAGCCCCTAGGTGGGCAGCAATGGTTGCACTGGTATGCATTCGGGCAGACTTTGAGCACAGGCACTGAACTACTGAGTGCGATGGCTTTCCAAGAGCTGCTTCTTGCAGAAGAGTCAGGATGCTGCAGAAGAGTGTAAACCTCTGTCTCTGAGGTACTGGCTATTATTCTTGAAGTCGCAAAAGAGAGAAAAAAATGACATCAACTTAAATTTTACTTAGGGTCCCTCAATCCCAAACCAATACAAATATCATACAGACAGGTAAAATATAAAAAAATGTCAATTATGACAAGTAGTGATCACAACGGGCCACAATGATACTGGTGTGTATGTGAACAGACTCCATTCTGAGCTATCCTGGAACCAAGAAGAAAAAAAAAAAAAAAAAAACAAACAGAAAAACTATTGCTCTAGATAGAGATGGATAGTTAGAGGCTTAGTTAAAACCTCATAATTAAGGAAGGATCATGAGCAAGAGTAGGATCTGAAAGGCAATGAAGGCTTGCTGATTACCTTCGAGTACAGAAACGTTCTGTGGTATTATCACATCCACAAGGAGCCATCATACTCAGAAGCCCAGGGATAAAATACAGCTCTATCACAGTGAATGAGGATGATGTTCTTTTATTTTCCTTTTATTTTTTTTAGTAGGCAATAAGTGTATTTGTTTAACATTATATTGATTATACTGCGGGGAGCAGAAAAATCAGGAAACAAAACACAGGGAAAGATAAAGGAATTGTTCTTTATTCACTGTAGGAAGCTGTAAACAAGTGAATGCTCTTACCAAGTGCTCTTACTGGGCTGAAAAATTTAGCCTCCCCATGGCTTGCCCCAAGGGGCAAAGGAATTACTCCCCATGACTCTGGAGAGAAAGGCCTTGACAGCTGACAACAGAAAAACACAGAGGGAGAAAGAAAAAATAGACAGTTTCCGTCTCTTAACTCAATGATGGATGCACCTGAGAATAATTAAATTTGCCCACACCTTAATTTTTTCTTGAATATTTTGCAAGAAATGGAAATATAAGTCATTTTTGCTTTATTCTGTCATGTTCTGTTGTGTCCTTGTTTGTCAATACTAAATACTAGTAAGGACTCTCGATTTTCACTCAGGTTTTCTCTTTTGAAGAGAAGGGTTTCCTCCCCATTTGAGTCATGCTAACTAGCAATTTGACCGTGTGGCCCCAAAGCGGGAAAAATAGGCCTACAGATGTAAAACACAAGATATCCTGCTGTCCTGCTGTAGTTGATAAGTGTGACCCTTTGAACTATCAATCCAAGAATGACAAGACTTAGAGGTAGCAAAATGTATCCCCAGATGGGTGCCTGTGAGAGGTTTGCCCATAACTGTAAGCTTTTCACCTTCAGTTTGTGTCTTGGAGTCCTTCTGATGGGCTGAGTTTCAGTGAATGCAGCTGTGTGGTTCACAGCTTGGCTTACCTCAGCTGCAATGTGTTGTATAGCAGTGATGCAAGGAAATCTCATTTTTGTAGAGCTGAATGTACTATGCAGTTCTCCTGGGCTTACCTGGCTTGGGAAGTAAATGATATTAACAGTAGATCTGAAAGCACTGTGCAAAATCAAAGAGAAATTGTGGCCTAGATCCCAACCTGAATTCCCAAAAGACAGTGAATTGCTACCCTCCTTTACCCTCCCTGTAGGTTTCATGTGCTTACTTTTAGGGTCTTCCTTATCATAGAGCTAATGTGGTCAGAGTTAAAAAAATTAATTAATGAAAAAATTAAAATCCTTTTTTTTTGCTGGCTAATAAAAAAACAGAATGTTCGAATCAGAGGCCTTTGTGGTGAAGGGATAGAATATCAGAAAACCTGGATATTCTCTCACTAATACAGACAGTACCATTGCTTTCTTAATTGGATGAATTTGAATAAATTTATATTAATATCTAATTAATATGACTGGTATCTAGCATATATTTATGAGTCACATTTTAACTCTTACGATGGCTGAAGAAGACAGCAGCTAAGGAAAGGTCATATTTGCAAGAGCACTTCTTCCTGGGCTACAAAGATTAATCATTATTTGTATTGCTGTCCTTTTTGGATTTACTGGTTCTGCTTCTGTATTATCAAAGTAAAAGTTGACAGCTGCTAGGTGAACCCCTCAATCACCAAAGTTCGTTGATCAGAAGAGAAATATTGTGGAAATTCTGGTTCTTAAGTGGAAGCTGTGACAGTTACTGTCAATGAATATATAATAAAAATGGGAATTAATAAGGTCAGATGCTATTAAATGCTGTAAAAAACAGGTAGAACCAATATAATTATGAAATGATATATGTGATTTCAGCGGATTTGCCAACTCCAGCTGCAGTGTTTCTGCTGAATTTGCCTGCAGTGTTGGCTCAATTT